GGGCTCCGTGGGGTGACACACGGCTCGGCAATGCCAAACCCTCCCACTGACCTCAGCGCCTTATCGCCGAGGCGTTGGAGCGAGACAATGAGCCAAGAAAATACCCGTGGGATGAGATCACCTCGGCTGTCTCTGCGGCTCCCAAAATGCCTCGGCTGTGCCGAGCCTGGAGAAGTGCGGCGTTACAGGCAGTGCCTGGGATGGAGGGGCTGTTTGCAGCCTCAGCACAAGTGCTGGGGTGTTGGTGACAGTGGTGACAGTGGAGACAGTGTCCCCTGACCACTGAGCCCCAAAACCTCTCCATGGCAATCTTCCCGACAAAGCTCCCTCCGGGTGCCTGCTTCTGTCTCAAACTCTGGATTCAAAGTCCAACCAGCTGGGAAGGAGAGCTGGACTTCAAGGAATCACACAAGTGCTGTTTCCGAGTGCCAGGATTCCCCAGGCTGCCCCCAAGGGGAGCAGGACACTGCATCCCCATGGGCAGGGAGCCAAGGCAGGGCCTCGGCCCTTCCTCTCCTCCCAGCATCCCAGCCAGAGGGATCCTTGTCCTCCTGGAGACACCCCCCACAAGCTGCCAGGCCTGAGCCTGACTCCTCTTCCCTGTCCTTTCTCTGAAACCTGCATCATTTTGGGTTTTCCCGGGCTTGTTCCCCCCTGTAGGGTTGTGTGGGGTGCTGCTGTGCAACAGGGTGAACTCCATTCCCAAAACTCCAATGGGGAACACTCCTCAACGTGACTGGGGAGGGCATAGGTAGGATTGGAATATTCCTGGTTGTGCTCAATCCCTCCCTCTTGTTGGTGCTTCGTGAGCAGGTGACTGATACAGCTCTTCCTCAGTGGAGGAAGGAGGGGAAAGATCCCTGCCCATCCAGAGGGAAACCCAAGCAGCCTCTGTGGGGGCACAGCTGGAGCAATGGGGGGACCAGGACTGATCCCATCCCAAAGAGGCTGATGGGGACATTCCCATGGGCAGCCATCCCCAAGACACGACTCCACACTTTGTTCCATTGCTCCAGCCCCTCCATGCCTCAGACATCTGTCCCAGAGTCAGAGCCCTGAGATTCCCCTTTTTTGGAGGGTATGCTGGAGCTGACCCTGGGTGAGGGTCACAGAAGGTTGGGGTGCTCCTGCTCCTCCCCCTGCTCTCTGACACCTTATTCTGGGTTCTCTTCTGCAGCTGGGACATCCCATATCCAGCACCTGGATAACCCAGGACACATCCCCACTCCTGGCAACTTCTGCCACAGTTGTCCATCACTCCGACACCCCGGGAGGTGATGCCATCCGCACCTTCACACAGCCACTTCTTAAGAATTTTGGGGAGGGGAAAAGCATGACTGAAAACAGAGCCAGGACCCTCCTCTTTCTCACCTTCCCCACATTTTAACCCCCCTGAGTCATTTCCATTCCTGGATGTTAAATTGCCCTTCTCTGCTTTCCTTTATTTCCCGGTTTCCTGCAGGGGGCTCGTTGTTCCCGATCTGCCGGCGCCGGTGAGACCCAGCCCCGGCATCCGCCAAGCAGATGCCAGCGAGGACAAAGGTGGAGCTCAGCGAGATCCCAGGAGCCACCAGCCCTGCGGGACACACGGCTCCTCATTTCCATAGCAAAACCCCTCGCTGTCGTTTTGCCACATCTGAGGAATTTTCTCTCTTTCCAGAGAAATTCAAAGCGCCGGGTGCAATTTCCTGCCCACCTGGCAGGGAACCCCCCACGGCTCCGGGAGAGGGGCAGCTCTGTCTCCTGTCCCAGAGCCCGGTGGGAGTGTGGAGTGACACAGTTCCACCCAGGAAAGTGCCACTGGCAGGTGGCCACAGGCAGCTTCCCCTCACTGGCCACCTTTGCCCACTTGACTCTGGAGCACATTCAGGCTGATGAATGGATCCATGCCCCCTCCCCAAGGCCGTGGGGGGGATCAGTACCCTAATTTGGAGACACTACCTGCAAAAAAGGGGAGTAGAACCAGCCCCCCTGCTCCCCATGGCTCTTTGGTGATGAAGATAAGCACACACGCCTGGATCCCTAAGGAATTTCACATCTTCCTGGCTATGAGGATAACCTGCCAGGGCCAAATCAGCTGGGCCCTGTGCTCCCAAACACAGAGTGAGAACTATCCATGCTGGAAGAGCAGCCCTGGCCAAGTCACACTGAAGTGGCTGAGGAGGAAGAAAAGGGGTGTTCACTCTTGTGCCTAATGATTTAGGCACAAGATTTTAAAGATTTTAGGCACAGATTTACAAATCCGTCTGTCTCCAAAGCATGGACAGGCTAAGTGGAATAAAAAAAGGAGAAGGAGAGCATTGGGTAGGGGTTTTTCTTCATCCCAGGATACCAAATGCAGCAGGAATTGTCACCTTCTTGCTGCTTCACCTCCCAACCCAGCACTGCCTGGGAAGGATGGAATGTGGATGAACCCACGGGCTGGTCTCGCCTGTCAGGAGGACGCAGACAGGTGTGGAGAGATGGGCTCCAGGAGGTCCCTTTTTGATGTCCATCAGGATAAACAGAGGCAGGGCCTCAGGAGCAGTTTGTCCAAGAGCAGGGAGGGGCTGGAGGGCTCTGCCCAGACTGTCACCGCCATGGATGG